AGAGAGAGAGAGAGAGAGAGAGAGAGAGAGAGTGTGTGTGTGTGTGTTTTGATGTATCTAAAACGCGTGATGTGGATGACCAACGTGCTGTTTTTGCTTTCTATTCTACTACCCTTGCCTCAAAATCCAGATGGAAAACGGAATGAGATTTTGGGTTGTAAGATTTTGCACAAATGAAAACAATTTTTCCTTTAATCTGGATTTTGGGTGGAGCTTCTGGGTATTTGGGTTTTCAGATTTTGGGGTTTGTTGTCATAATTCACAAAACAATTAAATGCAGAAATGAAGGAAGAAGAAAAGGCGCGAATGCCAAAGGAGGGAAATTGTAGCGTACACACTTACATAGTAAGCTTGCTTTTTCTTTACAGCCGTTGAGATTAGATTGGATGGCTGAAATTGATCCTCACATAGTATCCTCATTTAGGAGTCCTCGTTAGAGCCCAGCGCGTTAATAAATGCCTGGCCTGGCACTTAGGCCATCTCCAATGCAATGACCTAAACTTAAAATATTGCTCCAAATCTCCCTCAACCCAACAAAATGAAGGATCCAAAATTTGAGAAAACCCAAATTTGGACCCAAATGCTTTCGTGGAGCCCACTTGCAACTCAAACAGCCCCTATGTGCAAAGATGCTGACCTGGGTCCCACCTCCTTTTTTGCAGCTGCCTTTTCCCTTCTCTTTCCTCCACTTGTCGCTGCCCTATGGACTTGCTGTTGGAATCCAACGGCACATTTGAATTAAGTTGTTGTTTGCTTTTTTTTTTTTTTTTTTTGGTTTATACATATAGCTTAAATCAACGATGATGATTAAATCTAAGCTATTTTAACGGGAAAAAAAAAGATTCAACGACTGAAATTTAAATCCAACGGTCAAAGTAATATTTTAAATTAATCTAGATCAAATCCAACCCCAAAACTCACTCCAAACTCTATGTTGTGTGTTTTCTTTTGGAATAAAACTATATTTGTGGAATTTTAATTTCTTTAGGTCAAATTGTTCAAAAAATTTAATTATGAAGTTATTTAAAAAGATTGAATGAAGAAAAGTTATCCATTAAAAAAAAATTAGACTTAAACCATTTTTAAACAATTTAATAAAGTTGCGGACTTAAAATTTGAGTTCGGAGGGTTGAGAGAAAAAATGATTTGAGTCCGGGTAAAACCCAAATAGTCACTTTTTGGAGGGGAAAAATTTGGGTTTAGCCCCTCATGGGTTGGAGATGGTCTTAGGTGTGTATAACAATATGTTTTATTTTAAAATACAACCGATAGTCTATATTAAGAGGAGGGGGTTTCTCATATACACACTATGAAGGTGACATAGAGATTTGAACCTGAGATAATCGGTCTACAAGTCAATGTTATTTTTCATTGGGTTAGATTTACCATCGACTTCGTCGACTTTCTAACAATACGTTTTAGTTAAAGTGCTCTTGTTTGACTTCCATTATCCATGCAATAGAATGATATAATTAGATTATGTAATTCATTCACCAAATCGGTAATTGAGTTGAGCTATAGTTATATATTGATAAGTTATACTCAGATTTTACATGTAGAGGTTCCTACATGAACCCTGTTTTGGGCTTTTAGGAATAAAACTATTGGGCCTGGGAGGCCCACTAAAGGATGAAAAGTTAAAAAGGATAAGCCCGCAAACCTGAGGCCGCCCTGCAAAACTGATGTGCTCAGAGGTTCTCTTTTTCTTCCACTCTCAAATCCAACTGACAGACAGTGACAGAGAAACGTTAATATGGATAGCGAAATGACATGCTGCGCAGGGTAAGTTGCCGAGAGAGCCGAGAGGAGCGGAGGACCAAATGGCACATGACGATGTGCTTGGTCGTTTTGTTGCTGCCGCTCCTTAATTTGGAGCCTTGTGCTTTGTTTTTTTGTCTTTGTGCTTATTTGAAACCGACCCATCGTCCCCTTGTACCCTTTTTTTTTGTCTACTCCTTTCCTTCTACTCGGCGGTTGGGCAGTTGGGCATATAATGCTCTGCTCACATTACTACATTAGGCCGTTGAACTTGCCCGTCCATCTTCTTGCGTTTTGTCGATGAGTAGGCGTCGCCTGTTTTTTTTTTTGCCTATTTCCCTCCCGTCACATCCCATCCCAAGCAACTGCTTCAATGCTTTCAATATTGTTTGCTTGAGGTGTTTGGTTCGATACAATTTACAATCAAGGGCATTCCCTTCAGAATTACCATTCCATTATTCACATGTATAACTTAGACAATGCTATTTTCGATTCCCAAAAGGACAAAATGGAGATTCTAAAATTAGAAGTAAAGAATGTACATTTCATTCCTATAATTCACTTGAGTCAAAAAGCTTCAAGCTTTAAATTATAAGGCGGAGCTAGGATTTTAAGTTTGGGAGGACAAAAACTCCAATTCCGAATCTCCAAGGAGAGATCCAAACCCAAATGGTTAACCAAATAGCGGAAGAGAATGGATCCTCGGTACCAAACTTTGACTCTTATTTTCAATCAAACTAGGTAATAAATTATGTTCTTTACTTAATTTCATTCTCATTCTTCCAATTCGTATTCCACTTCATTCCAGAAATCAAAACAATGACTTGTAGATAACGTCTTGGTCCATACTGGCTGGCAATTTAAGCTACCGATTTCACATACATGGATCTTGTGGGAGCTAAATTCAACAATCAAATAAACAAACCCAAATATCAAATGGGATCACATAAGATTTATCAAAGATCTTAATGATCGCACATGATGTTACCCAACAACTAAGGGGAATATGGAAGATAAAGTATTCAAATATTTTTACTGAAGCAATTGCTCATAAGGGTTAACCCAACTCACACGATATGCAACATAATTGGAGTTATGATGGAAAAACAAAGGGTTTGGTGACAAAGATGAAGAATGGATCGATTGAAAGGGGCCCGATTATAAATTCTTTAATTTAATATAAAACTAAAATATAATTTTTTAATATTACTAGGGGCTCGTTTGGGAGTGATACTAAATAAGCCAAAATCACTTCTAAGAGAACCACCTCCTATGTGTTTTTCCATATAATCACTTTAAATGATTTTAAGTGATTCTGAGCAAAAACACCTCTCATGTGCTTCTCCATAAAATCACTTACGACTCGTTTAGGAGTGATTCTAGATAGGCCAAAAATCACTTCTATGAAGAATCACTTCTTGATATATCACTTTAGGTGGTTTTAAGTGATTTTATGGAGAAGCAGACAAGAGGTGCTTCTCCCCATAATCACTTAAAGTGATTATACGTAGAAGCACGTGGGAAATGCTTCTCCCCAAAAGTGATTCTGTCTTATCTAGAATCACTTCCAAAGAAGCCCTTAAAATCACTTAAAAGTGATTCTGTCTTATCTAGAATCACTTCCAAAGAAGCCCTTAAAATCACTTAAAGTGAGTAGAAGTGTTTTTTGGTCTATCTAGATCACTTCCAAACAAACCCTAAATGATTAACAAGAGTTAAGAGAAAAGTAGAAGGTTGACTTAGGTCAAAGCAGGGTTCAATAGTTTCATAGCTTGAAAAAGTGAGCAACAAACACCAAAAGGAGGATCTAGCTTTCCTCCAAAGGATCAAATTGCCTTTGCAGTTTGCAAAAACAAAAATGGACAAACAAACCCCAATTAACACCCCCATTTAATTAATCAAAAGAAGAGAGCTTAGTAAAATATATATATGGCTCTCCAAAGACTAACAATATGATTAATCTAATCACTCAGTAATCAAGTAACCAAATATATTGGCATGGCAGAGGTAGAGTTCCTCTGTTGCTGCTGCTCCATGTTAAGCTCCCTGAGGCTGAGATATGGAATGTCCAGCTCACCCCTACTCGACGGAGACAGAGTTCCGGCGAGGGGTCCCGACGACGGCCTGCTTGTCGTACGGTAAGGCGTGCTCGAGCCACTTCTGCTCTCTGTGATATAGACGGGACCTGAAATTGAGGCCCTGAAGGCATTAGCCCTGGCCTGGTGCACGTCTTCTTCGCTGCGATTGTTGTGGCCATGGTGGTGGTGGGTGACGCATTTGAAGAAAAGCAGAGCGCTTTTCCACCAGCGCTTCTTCTTGGCCTTGTGGGTCTTTTTGGGGTCGTCTTTGGAGATGGGTTTTTGGAGCTTGAAGTGTATGGAGTCTATGGATCTTGTTGTCTCACGTTTGTGCCTTCTTGCTTCTTCCAGGACCTTGATGTTTTTGACAAGAAAAGAAAAGGGTCAGAATCAGATAAAAACTTTGATGCAGAGTGAAAGCGTTGAGAGAGAGAGAGAGAGAGAGAGAGAGAGAGAGAAATGGTGAAGATTAATGGAACCTGAAAATAGTCGATTTGAGGGTCAAAGCCATAGTCGCTGAAGTGTTGAGGTTGTGGCATCGGAAATATTGGTGACTTGTTAGACATTTTCTCTGTATGTTTGTTGTGTTTCTAAGTGAAGATGAGTTTTTCGGGTTCTGTTTGTGGGAAAGCAGAGCTTTTGGGGCAAAGGGAGAAGAAGAGAGGAGGAGGGAAGGAAAGTGGGTTGGAGTGAAAAAGTGAGCTTTTGGGGCTCCAGAGGCGTGTGGGAAGAGTAATGGCCGTTGGGTATTGGTAAACCCTAGTAAATGCTCTATAAACCTTTTACACTTCCAAGTTCCAACTTTACTTTATTAATTAAATATAAATCATTTGGATTATATAAAGCCTTCTCACGAAATGAGTTGGTAATTTCATTTGTCATTTCAAAAAGTAGTTTCGTATTAGACATGTTGTGACTTTTCAGAGAAAACAGAATTTACTAACATAAGAGTTAATGGGCTTTTGAACCCAAAATTAAAGGGCCTTTTTCATTGAGCCAATGAGTTTAATTCTATGAAAAGAGTCATAACTTGTAAATCGGCGATCTCAAGTTCGAATTTTAGTGGCACCTCGGTTGGTAATGTGTGTGAGAAACCTCCATTCTTCTTGTAATTTAGACAATAACTTGTATTTTTTTATTATTATTATAAAAAAAGGTTAATCTCTAATCACCAAAAAATAGAAAGATAAAATGGTTAATGACTTTTTGCAGGTTAACTAAATGGTACAATGATATTTTTTAAAGACCTTTCCTGTTGAGAGGTACGATAGTATACTAAATTCACATACATTACATAGATGCTAGAACTCGAACCCATAACCATTTCTGGAGGAGCAATTAATCCAAACCACTACACGAATGCATCCTTTGCCTACAAATTGAATTTTATTTGAACCTTTAACCTACTAATTTCATATTAGATTGAAGTTCTGGGCTGGGCATTGGCCAATGTAAAAAATATCAATTACATGCCGAAAAGCCTGTAAAGAATCCTCTAAATGTAAAGCTAGCTTATTAAGAACAAAGCTGAAAGGCTGAAAGCGCACCAGTGTGGAATCTAAGAGGATCAGAAACAGTCAGTCCAAATGCATTCAGCTAAAAAAGAAAGAAATGTATTAAGAACAAGTAACAAAAGAATAATAATACAAGTTACTTTTGCTCTCAATCCCATTCCCAAGTAAGTAAACCTTATCATATTTAATTCTTGGAGATCCCTGACTGGTTTAATATATGGAAACCAAATCACGTGACCTCCATACCGCGTGTTGCTATTTTAATGTTAAAAACAAGCCCACGGGGTTTATCTGCGGCATTAAAATTGTTTATGCAAAAATGGCCAACGCCTCAAAGAATGAACAACAAAAACTCACATGTCATGTCATGTCCTGTGGGGGAGCCAAGATTGTGATTGTCCAAGTCGCTCATGAATCTTTGACTGTTTTCATGTGCTTTTTTGCACGCATGTACGTGCTTATGGTGGGTGATCAGTTTGCCGCACTTGTTTGGTGGGAGAGAAATAGATTGTAAACACCAATTTCTTTTTTTCCATTGTTGCTAATAATGGATAACAACATTTGATTTCTCATTAGTTTCTTAATACTAATCTTATTGTTCGAGGTTTTTTTTCCCTTAAAAAACTACTTCCATACGGGACAAGGATGAATGTAAGAATAAGTGCTCTACTATCGAAATTCGAAGTTAAACGATCGATATACCTTAAAACTCTGTGACATACAACCAGTGGCGGACCTGTGCAGGCGCAAGGAGGTGCACCTGCACCTCCAGTCGTCGGAAAACTCCATTATAGCTGCTGGAGTTGCACCTCTGCTCACACACGGAACCTGTTCGATGAAATGCGCAAGTGAACTTGCGCTGCTATGCTGCTGGGCTGCTGCGCGCAGCGCGCGACCTCTTTTTTTTTTAATGAAGCCTGGCCAAAACGACGTCGTTTTGGACCAGGGTTTAAAAATAAAAAAAAAACTGAAACAACTAAGCCATTTCGTGGGCTTCTATAGGGTTTTAGTTGGGTATTTATTATTCCTTGCTGAATTGGGTTTTGATTGGGTTTTTGTATTCCAATTAAAACCCAATTAAGTTTTCTTTATTTAATTGGGTTTTGGGAATTCCTTATTTAAGTAGGATTAGGAATTCTTTTTATAAATGACCAATTTAACATCACCCAATTCCTTAGTAATGCAAATATAATGCGACGTTTTCATAATATGAAACCTTGTCGGCAACAATTGTAGGTTAATTGTAATGGTTTTTTTTTTCTTCAATTAATTATGAATAACATTAGTATTGTTTAAATTATAAGGATGTTTAGTGGTCTTTTTTTTTTTTTTTGAGCTCTTAACTTTTAAAATTTGCACCTGCATACAACCCAACAAACGAAAAATGTTTATGTTTCATGTTTAGGTTTTCTAAATGGGCTTCATTAGGCCAAGCTCACGCTACTATTCCATGATTGCTGAATCGGATCCCATTCCTTGATTGCTGAATCGGATCCCATTCCTTGATTGCTGAATCGGATCCCAACATTCTTTGATGCGATATGGGCCAACCCAGATTTAGTAACATTTCTTGGGCAAGTTTGCTTTCTTGCTTGCCCTTTTACCTTATCTTTTGTGTTTTTTAGCAAATTTATCTGTATCTCCCTCCCTCCCATCATCTAGTTGGATCTCACATTGTATTAACTATGCACCAGTTTAGCTCATAGCACAACCGACTCAACCGATATAATCTCAATCCTCAGCAGCATCATCCTTGTCTCTCTCACTATCCAAAAACACAATTTCAACCAATTAGGTTGTCTCATAATCAATTTCTTACAATTACCACTATTTATTATTTTATTTTTTTGTAAGTTTTAAAATCATATGCTTCTCACTTCGAACTCACATGACATCATAATGGTGTGTGCGTGAGAAATCTCATTCCCTTGTAATTTAGACTATCTCTTGTATTAAAAAAAACAAAAATCATATGCTTCCCTTGCGGTGGGAAAACAACCTTTTTTCTGTATCCATCCACAACATTAATAAATTAATTAGAATATGATTGAATTAGAATGATTGTGCTATGGAATTGTTGAGCCCAACAGTGGAGAAAGCTCCACATATCTGCAAGACCTAAAAAATACCAGCAGTAATTTTACGAAATCTTCTGTGGCAACCTTTAGTTAATGGAATTAATGTTGATCTTCCGATTGATTCCTTCAAGTGTGAAGGAGATTAAGAGATGATATGAGGAGAGAGATAGAGAAACAGAGGAAGAGAGACAGAGAGGGCATGTGAGGGGAGAGACAAAGACAGAGAGAGGGGGGTTGTTTATGGAGTTAAGAGTGTGGTGGCCATGAGGGGTGGCTTGAGATGTCGGGGGAGAAGGTCAGTTGCTCGGCACCGGCCGACTGAAGATTTTCCCTTTTTTTATTTTTTCATACTTTTTTCTTCTGAGATGGATTGAAGATTATCATTCCAACAGTTGGCTTAATGTGGGGCAATAACCAGATCCTCGTCTTCATCTGGGAACTCAGATTGTTTTTCTTGAAACTCGTTGGTAGTTCAGTGTGCAAGCGGCTCCAAAAATACTTGTATTTTTCCAAGGCTACATTATGCATTCAATTCAAGGTATTTAATCTATTTACTCCTCCTTTCTTATCTAACATTTCCTAAACCCCTTCACACTCATGTACTAACATTAACATTAGTCTTGCAGGGTCTGCTTCTATTATATTTTTACAATGCGTACCCGGAGCTCTGGCAGTAATATCAGTAGGCGAAGCTGGACGTTCAGTCGCTTTGGAGGAATTTCTGGACAAGCAATTTTTAAGCCAGCAGAACCCAAGAAGATGAACAAGTATTGGCGGGAAATACTATATCATCATCAATAATAAAAAAATCTACAGATTTATGCACAAAGACGGGATACTTACCTAGACACCGAAGTGAACATGGTAGAACAAGAACATAGAGGATGCCTTTGCCTGGAGGAGTTCACTTGTGGGAGATAATAAAGAAAAATGCTGCTAAACGAACCTTAAAATTAATTGAGTACACCCTACTACTAAAGTTTTTATTGAATTACTAATTTATCCTAATATAAAATGACCAAAAAGGATATATGGAATTGTGAAATAAATATAATTTTAATAAGTACACCTGACTCACTGTATTCAATCCTAATCAAACGTAGAGAAGTTTTTGTATAATTTTAAGGGTCTTTGATGCTTCAAAGGCTTAGAGCTTCCTTACAAACACGGCGAAAGACAAGTATCGGCGTTTTTCCATGTACTTGATTCTTCCTGATGCGAAAGATGGGCAGCCATATTTGAATGAAAAAATTTGTTCCAGTCTGACTTCTTAGCTCAACATCATCTCCATACAATAAAGTTGAAGTGGATGACTTTAAAATCCCAGCGTTTAAACTTTTCTTCTAACTTGGAAACATCCAAAATTCTCAAGGATTTCGAACTGGTGATGATGCATTTCACTAGTAATTTGATAGAGATGTTTGAGTCTCCTCCACATATTTTGAGGAAAATCACAAGGATTTACAATAATCAACCTTTGAATTTAACTAGCTAGCAAATCTACTCCCACAATAGCTTATGAAATTAAAGATTTTGATGCGAACCCAAAATCTAAAAAGATGGCACGAATTCATGTAAAAAGTGAAACCTGGTTCATAATTGGCACTAGAGTGTTGTGTGATAGAGTGTATAAGAGTATACCATGGGGTATTTTTGGTAATAAAATAAGGTGTACTTAGTGAATTTTACATTTTGATTAAAATATTATGGTATACTTAGATCATATGGTGTACTCAGTTAATTTTAAGGTTCGTTTAGCAGCACTCTAAAAAAACTGAAGAAGAAAAAGAAATATTGGCTACGTGGTTAGCCTACCTTGTGTGCGGTGTGGTAGCGAGGATGATCAGAAAGAGGAGGAGGTCCTGTTGGATATTATACATGGACCTGCGTTTTTTCCAATCCTACATCCAATTGAAGTGATGAAAAAATGAAACATTTCTAAATTTTAAAGTCCATTTTTTGATTTCGTTTCTTTCTTAATTAAAGGTTTTCTTTCCTATCCCAATCCAAAAAATAGTAATGAATTAGTGCAAATCCAGAAAAATAAATCATGAGAGAGAGAAGATAAAGCATTGAAGAACGGTTAATTTTGATGTTGGTTGGAGAAGAAATTATCAGTAATGTTTTTGCTAATGGCATACATACATAATGATAAT